CTCACGGTGGCAAGCGTGTGATAGAGCCCTGCCACACCACCCCCACTAAGACTCGAAGATACGCACGTGGCCGCTACGGCTGCGATCACTCAGCAAGTTGAGCTGGAGAGCAACAGGGATGGATCACTGGATCAATGGTAGACGCTGGTGGAGAAGCGGACGCGTGGAAAACACACCCGTGCCAACAGCAGGGGGCTTCGAAATGAGCACGGAGAAGTTGGGAAGATCGGACTTGTACGATTACAGCGGCTTGCGCGAGCCAATGAGTGACGACGAAATACAGAGCTTGTTCCACCGACACCGACGGATGCGTAGCAATCCCGTCGCGGTGACACGGACCGTGACACTAAATTCGCCGGACAACGCGTGGGCGTCTTTCGATAACCGCTGGAACACAGAAGGCGCCGCCAGATTCACCCTATCCCTCGAAAGACGCGAAGCAGATCATGAAGGGCGCTCGGTGAGCGCGCTGGCAAGGCGGATTCACAGCGTGGTGTATGACGCCGACCGCGGCTGCTGTTATGTGCATTACACCAATGTAAACACCTGGTGTTCGCAGAATGGACGCCCAAGACACAGTCAGGATGCGTGGGAGCAGGAAGTCACAAAATATCCAGTCTCTGAGGCGGAGCGAGAGCTTGTTGGGCAATATATTAGTGCCATGAGCGATGCTAGGCGCGGCGAGCGGCCGCGCCACCCGGAAGACATGCCTCCATTGAAATGGCTGCCTCGTGCATCGCCACGCAGTCCGGAACGTCCTCAAGAAAATTGCTCGAAGCTCCCAACTATCGGGCATTGGCCCAAGCCAACACACGAGGTACCTGCGGTGCGGAGGGATGGAAACGTCGCAGGCGTGAGACTCGCGACCCGTACGCGTTCGTTGGGGAGTGGCACGATGATCTTCGTGCTCCGAGATCGCCTCCACGATATGACGGACGAGGTCAGCACTATAAACGAGGGGTGCAGGGACGTCACACTGAAACTGTGCGGCGTGACCAGTGCAAGGAGGACGAGACCGCTCGGGGCCGGTAGCGCGCGGTGGAAAGGCTGAGCCATCTAAAACGCGAGATGGCGCAGTTGCACCGGGAGCTGGATATGCCTCCGTTACCTGAGCGGGGTCATCATGATTGGTGAGTGGCGAAGGTGCGGGGGTACCATCAGCACTAGGGATGGCGGGTGGGTGATAACGTCGGAGTCACCCGACCCAAATCTCGATCTAAAGTAGATTGACGAGCGGCTGAATCTGGAAATCTCTACACCACAGACACTCTCCCTAGCGCGCTTAGCGAGGACTTTTCGTGTCAAATTAAGAACAAAGCGGAAACTCGGCAAATTGAAGCGTCAGAGACTCCAATTGAGGGGTGGTAGCCCAAACGTAGCTCGTAGCGTAGCTCTTCGAAGTAAGAGCACATATGTGCTTTTACGTGGTCCTGAACGAAGGCACACATGGCAGAAGACCATCTAGATGACCTCGCTCTAGTCTCCCCTTTACGAAAAGTTGCCTGTTGCACAGGAAAGCTTATACCATCGAGCGAGACTGCGGTCTGAAAGACCCAGCGCACTTGCGACTGTAGTAGTGTCAATTGAATAAACGTAACCTCTCCAACCGATATCTAGTGAGTAGATCATCTCCTTAACCCTGACGACGGGGTAAATATCCAAATGCTCAGCGAACGCCAGTCATTCGGACAATTGCTCGTTCTCAGGCTTTTCAGTCCGATGACAGCCCGTTGTCTGAGTTTGCAAACTTCTCAGTGATTGGTACAAAATTATTTTTGTTTATCTGAAACTGAGTTTTATTTTCTACTTTAAAATGGTAACGTACTACCTGAAACCTAACCTCGCCAGCTAGAAAGGCACTTTTTCAAGTTTGATTAGCCAAAGCTTTAGACATATTAGTACAAAGTTTTTGAAGCGCTAATGGAGTCGATTGTACTGAGATAATTATACCGATAAAAAATTGAAAATATGCGTGCGGTATGCCCACATCTTGGATTTGTTTAGGGGTAAACATATTTTCCGTGCCCCTCGACCTGATACGTCGAATGTGGACTTAGAAGACCAACCAATCCCTCACGTTTTGATTGGCCAAGACTGACATTTTTACTTGAATATGATAAGTTATCTTAGAAACTCAATATATGATTAGCCGTTAATACTGATATTAAACTTAAGAGAGGTCGATACATTGTCATATCTTATATATAGCTCCGGGTCCATCTTCCTTTATAGCTAAGCGCTCACAGAGATGTCACAAAACTACGCACTCAATTGGCTACATGATCAACAAGCGCGGATTGGCTAAAATAATGTGTATTACAAATTATAAGTACGTTACATAAAAGATGGAGAGTAATTACGAATACTGCATGTTAACTGAAATAAAGTGTACATGAATTAAAAAAATGTGAAGCAGGAACGAGCTTGAACATGTTCGCACAGTATTTTAAGTTACTCTGTACTACAGTTACGTACAAGTAAGGCACCTTCCAAGCCCGGACTACATTCTGTTCGCTCCTAACGCGACCTAGCCGCTCAAATGTTAGAAATAAAAAAGCTATTGTTGCGCTAACTCTCAGTGCCATTACTATTCGAATATTGCTGTTTTCAAGTATATAGAAATGAGCTGATCTAGTGATAATGTTTATAAAAATGACCAGACGTGAGTTGATAAAAAAGGTAAGTTTTAAACTTATAATTCAAAATAACATTTAAAATCTCATTTTACCGCCCCGGTGTATCATGTTAGCTTTAGGGGTACTGATACAAAAGCTTTACAGTTTGTAATCGCCATCTTAAAAAGTGATATCCGTAGGTTCAATAGAAAAATGCGCGTAATGTATAACAATGTTTACATGTATTGTTCCCGCCTTACATTCTAACAGTAATGGGGCCGCATAGCTCAGAAGGACGTTCATTCCCAGATTGAAGCACAAAGTATTATTATACATGATTGGATCTGTCTGCCAATGTTCACGCTACTTGCGTTCGCATTTTTACTCAGTTTTTTAAGCTGAGGTGTAAATAAGTTTAGAGGGCTCGGATAGACCTATTATAACTGTTGCGCTTACTCAGCAGTAGCGCACCATTTCGGGACGTTTCGGCACGATATATATGGTGCTTAATCGACTACATGCAATCAACATGATAATCAAATGCTCCAGAATGTGTTCGGTCAAGTGACTTTAGCTATAGTGACTACAACTATAGCACAATCGTTTGGTGTTCGTAACTCTGTCCTCGATCGTTACATATCATTTCCCTGTAGAGTACATGTTTTTCTTGCGGTATGTTGTGCGTAAAGAAGTCCGGCGAGATCGCAAGTAAATAAACAACATCAGGAATACACTAGAGTCATATTATCTGAATTTTTCACATCATTATTTTAATGAGAAATCCTACTACATGTATGTATGATCGCTGGAAAC